ACAGTCTTAGTGTGCTCAGGTTACTATAACAAAATACCATACACTCGGTGGCTCAAACAACAGATATTTATTTCTCACAGTTCTGGGGGCTTAGAAGGCAAAGATCAGGATACCAGAACACCAGAGTGTTCTGCATGAGTACACTCTTTCTGGCTTGAAGATGGCCTCCTTCTAGTTGTGTCCTCACTTGACAGAGTGAGAGAGAGCTTTGGGCATTTCCTTTTCTTACAAAGACAGTACTACTCTCATCATCATGGCCATCCTCGCATCCAAACCTAGTCAATGGCCACGTCCAAATACCATCACACTGGCGGTTAGAATTCACATATGACTTCTGAAGGCTGGGGTCACACAGGTTCAGTCCATAACACACCTCTATAGTAGTTTCAAAGCTCCTTTACCTATTCAAGTACCCCTCCCGCAACTCTTGCCAAGCACTGACCACTTCACTATCTCTAGTTTTGCCTGTTCCACAATTCCTTGTAATTGGATCACACAGACAATACACACACACACACACACACACGTAGCCACTTGAGACTGGCTTCTTTCAGTTATCAATAGGAATTTAGGATTCATCCATATCTGTCAGTGCCTTGAAAGATCATTCGTTTCTTTTGCCAAATAGTATTCCTTCGTGTGGATGCACCAAGATCATATTTTTTTGATGTAGTGTTCAATGATTCATTATTTGTGTATAACACCCAGTGCTCATTACAACACGTACCCTCATTAATACCCTTCACCGGCCTACCGCGGCACCAAGATCATTTATTCATTCATCTGTTGATGCACATCTTGGTTGCTCCCTGTTTTGCAATCATGAATAAAGGTGCTATAGACATTGGTGTGTAGGATTGTGGGCAGACTGACGATGTTGGGCTTTGCTGCCGCCCTGTGATCCTGGAAAACAGTGAAGGTTAAGAGATCTCCCCAGTCTGTGTTCTAGGAAAGTGCTTACTGCAAGGAGGCTTCCTTCGCCATATGACTCAGGTGAGATTGACAGGTGCCCCCTTGTTTGCTGTGACAAAACCAGTCACGGTCCCTCCAAACTCCCATTCCTCAGCTCATAAATGATCAGCTGAACTCCTTGTGTTTACTGAACACCTGGAGCAAAATACTTGTGAATCAGGCTCTGCTTAAGGTTCTGTCCTTTCCCTGGGTTTCTGAACTTTGACCCCCCGGCAGTCGGAGCCAGGGCACAGCCCTTCTGAGAGTAGGCTGGCTTCAGGGTGAAGCATTCCTTCATTCGCTGCCTGTTCACACCACCCTTTCGTTCCATCTCTCCACCCTGGGTTCTCTGTGTCCTCTCTAGAAAGGAAAGAGCCTTTTGGCCTAACTCCTGGGACGCTTGCTGATCTTATGGTCAGAGTGTTCTCTCTGTTATAAGAGTGCCTCTCCCCACCCCTTTTCCTTACCACGATCCCTTGAAGAGTGTTCTTACTAATTCTGGATTAGTTCTGGAAGCTGATTTTTATTTGACAGGAGATAAGTTTTTAAGTCAGTTGGGCAAATACTTAATAGTATGATTATTGGCTCCTATTACTGTAAGACTCTGTTTGACTTTGGTAAGAACCTATCAAACTGTCTTCTTAAGTTGCTGTGCGATTTAGAGCTCCAACCGTAAATGAACGAATGCTCCTCTTGTTCTGCATGCTCACCAGCAGTTGGTTTTGTCAGTTTTCCGGGTATTAGCCATCTGAGTAATGTGTAGTGTTACCTCATTATTACTTTAATTTGCATTTCCCGTGTCCCAAATGATCTTGATCATCTTTTCATATGCTCACTTGCCATTTGGATATTTTAATTGGTGAGGTGTCTGTTCAGATCTTTTGCCCATTTGTAATTGAGTTATTTGTTTATTAGTTGAGTTGTATCAGTTCTTTTTTTAAATATTTTATTTTATCTTATTCGGTTATGTTAGTCACCATACAATCCATCATTAGTTTTTGATGTAGTGATCCACGACTCATTGTTTGCGTATAACACCCAGTGCTCCATGCTGTACGTGCCCTCCTTAATACCCATCACCGGGCTAACCCACCCCCCAACCCCCTCCCCTCTAGAACCCTCAGTTTGTTTCTCAGAGTCCATAGTCCGTCATGGTTCGTCTCCCCCTCCGAATTCCCCCCCCTTCGTTTTCCCCTTCCTTCTCCTAATGTCCTCCATGCTATTCCTTATGTTCCCCAAATAAGTGAAACCATATGATAATCGCCTTTCTCTGCTTGACTTACTTCACTTAGCATAATCTCCTCCAGTCCCATCCATGTTGATGTAAAAGTTGGGTATTCATCCTTTCTGATGGCTGAGTAATATTCCATCGTATATATGGACCACATCTTCTTTATCCATTCGTCTGTTGAAGGGCATCTCGGCTCTTTCCACAGTTCGGCTATTGCGGACATTGCTGCTATGAACATTGGGGTGCAGATGGCCCTTCTTTTCATTACATCTGTGTCTTTGGGGTAAATACCCAGGAGTGCAATTGCTGGGTCATAGGGTAGCTCTATTTTTAAGTTTTTGAGGCACCTCCACACTGTTTTCCAAAGTGGCCGTACCAACTTGCATTCCCACCAACAGTGTAATAGGGCTCCCCTTTCTCCACAGCCTCTCCAACATTTGTTGTTTCTTGCCTTGTCCATTTTTGCCATTCTAACTTGTGGAAGGTGGAATCTCAGTGTGGTTTCGATTTGAATTTTCCTGATGGCTAATGGTGATGAACACTTTTTCATGTGTCTGATAGCCATTTGTATGTCTTCTTTGGAGAAGTGTCTGTTCATGTCTTCTCCCCATTTTTTGCTTGATTATTTGTCTTTTGGGTGTTGAGTTTGAGAAGTTCTTTATAGATCTTGGATACCAGCCCTTTATCTGTAGTGTCATTTGCAAATATCCTCTCCCATTCTGTGGGTTGCCTCTTTGTTTTGTTGACTGTTTCCTTTGCTGTGCCGAAGCTTTTTGCCTTGATGAAGTCCCAAGAGTTCATTTTTTGCTTTTGTTTCGCTAGCCTTTGGAGATGTTGGATACAATTCCCTTTATCAGACATGAGTTTTAGTAAATATTTTTCTTCCAGTCTCTGGTTTGCCTTTCATTTCTTAACAGCCTCTCTTGCAGAGTGCAAGTTTTTTATTTTTAATAAAGTCCAACTCAGCTTTCTTTTTTTTTCTTTTTCATGGATGCTACTTCCGGTGTTCTGTTTAAAAGCTCAGCAGCAAACACAAAGTCATGTTGATTTTCTCCTACGTTTCCTCCCAGATGCTTTATATTTTGAATTTTAAATATAGACCCTTGTTCCATTTTGAGTTAATTTGTGCAGAAGTGTCAGGTCTGCGGCTCGGTTACACTTTTTTTGTCCTTGGATTCCAATTTTTTCCAGCACCATTTATTGAAAAGGCTATTCTTTCTCCATCAAATTGTGCTTGTATCTTTGTCCCGTTCAACTGAGTCATATTTGTGCAGGTCTGTTACAGGTTTGCTGTTCTGTGCACTGAACTCTGTGTCTGTTCTTTGCCAGTACCACACTGTCTTAATTACTACAGCTTTATAATAAGTCTTGAAATCAGATAATATGAGCCCTGGACCTTTGTTCTTCTTTTTCAGAATTGTGAATTCTTCTTTTTCAGAGTTTTTCAGAATTATCTATTCTAGAGCCTTTGGTGTTCAATATAAGTTTCAGATCAATATGTCGGTATCGTCACAGAGCTTGCTGCAATTTTGATGGGTATTCTGTTGTTTCTATAGATAAGTCTGGGAAGAATTGAAATTTTTACAAGTGCGAGTTTTCCAGTCCATGTATATGAAATATCTCTCTTTTTAGCTAGATTTTCTTTGATTTCTACATCATTGTTTGTGGTTTTCCACAAACAGATCCTGTATATATTTGTTGTATTTATACCTAAGTACTTCATATATAGGGTTGCTATTGTAAAAGGTGGTTTGGGGGTGGGGGATGTTAGTTGGACACTAACCCTTTATCCAATTAAAAACTGTGCAGTAGACATGAACACACATCTCTTCAAAGAAGACATACAGATGACCAACTGACACATGAAAAGATGCACAACATCACTCATCATCAGGGAAGTGCAAATCAAAACCAAAATGAGCTATCACCTCATACCTGTCAGAATGGCTAAAGCCCAAAACATAAACAACAATTGTCGGCGAGGACTTTGAGGAAGAGGAACCCTCGTGCACTGTTGGTGGGAATGCAAACTGGTGCAGCCACTGTGGAAGGACAGTATGGAGGGTCCTCAAAAAATTAAAAATAGAACTGTCATATGATCCAGTAATAGCACTACTGATATTTACCCAAAGAATACAAAAACACTAGGTCGAAGGGATATATGTACCCCTATGTTTATTGCAGCACTGTTTACCATAGCCAAATTATGGAAGCAGCCCAAATGTTCACCGATAGATGAATGGATAAAGATGTGTGTGTGTGTGTGTGTGTGTCTGTGTGTTTTATACAGAACAGCAGAAGTAGAATCCCTGTATACACACACACACACACACACACACAAATATGCATACACACACAATGCAATATTATTCAGCCCAAATGTTCTTCAGTAGATGAATGGATAAAGATGTGGTACACGCACACACACACACACAGACACACACACACAGGAATATTATTCAGCCATATAAAAGCATGAAGTCTTGCCATTTGCAACGACATGGATGGATCTAGAGAGTATAAGGCTAAGCAAAATAAGACAGTCAGAGAGAGACAAGCACCATGTGATTTCACTCATATGTGGCATCTAAGAAACAAAAGTGAGCGGAAAACAAAAGAGACAAACCAAGAAACAGACTCTTAACTATAGAGAATAAGCAGATGGTTACCAGAAGAAGGGAGGTCAGGTGAAATAGGTGAAGGGGATTAAGAGTACACTTATTTTGATGAGCACTGAGTAATATATGGAATTGTTGAATCACTATCTTGTACACCTGAAACTAATATAAAACTGTTTTTTTAACTACACTGGAACTAGAAACAAACAAACAAACAAACAGTAACTGTGAGAGAAGACTCAGAAATGGACGTGGTTGAAGACCTGAAGAGAGTTAATCACTTTTTTTAAAAAGGTAATTTAAAAAAAATATATCAAATTCTGATTGTTCAGTATTCATGTATAGATAGGTAAGCAATTGCCATGTGTGTATTGTACCTTCTATTGTGGGGGCCGTACTAAACTCCCTTATTAATGCAGCAGTGTTTTGTAGATTCTTTGGTGTTCTCTACATAAAAAATCGTGTCCTCTGCAAATAAAAATCGTTGTATTTCAACATTTCCAATCTGCACACCTTTTAATTCCTCTTTCCTTTCTTACGTAACAAGCTGGGATTCCATTACATGTTGAATAGGAGTGATGACAGCAGACATGTCTGGGGGGTGGGGAGCGTCTGACTGTCTTCCTTCAGCATGACGTTACCTGTAGGTTTTTCATAGATCTTTTTCATCAGGTTGGGAATGTTCCCCTCTATTCCTGGTTTGCTGAGAGTTTTAAACATGAAGCCTGTTGAATTATCAAGTGCTGTCTGCATCGCTAGATATGACCATATGATTTTTGTTCTTTAGCCTGTTGATGAGGTGAAGTATATCCGTTGATTTTCAAATGTTGAACTGGTCTTGTGTGCCTGAAAGATATCCCGTTTGGTCGTGGTATACAGTTCTTTCTATGCATGGTTGGATTCAATTTGCTGATATGTTGTTGAGGAATTTTATGACAGTGTTCATGAGAGATCATGGTGTGTGGTTTTCCTTTCTTGCAATGTCTTTGTCTGTCTTGCTATTAGGGGAAATGCAGACCTCAGAGAATGAGTTAAGAAGTGTTGCCCTGCTTCTATTTTCTGGAAGAGATGGTGGCAAGTGGGAATCATTTTTTTTTTTTCTTTAAATATTTGTTTGGAATTCACCAAGGAAAGAGTCTGGGCCTAGGGCATAAGTATATAACTGTTCAGGTTATCTATTTTTCTGCATGAGATTTGGTGGTTAACGTCTTTCAAGGAATCTGGCCATTTCCTCTAATGGATCAAATTTGCAGGCATAGGATTGCCGATGGCATTACTGTATTATCCTTTTAGTGCCCACGAGATCAGTAGTGATGTCCCATTCTTTCCACTCAGATATTGGTAAGTTGTGTCTTCTCTTTTTTTTCTTGGCCAGAAAGAGGTTTGCCTCTTTTATTGGCCTTTGCAAAGAACCAGCTTTTAGTGTCATTGATCTTTGCTACATTTTTCCTGCTTTCGATTTCATTGTATTCTGCTCTGATTTTTATGATGGATTTCCTTCTGTTTACTTTAGGCTTAAATAGGTCTCTTTTCCTACTTTCTTAAGGTTATTGATTTTAGATTGTTCTTCTCCAGTATGTGAATGTATGCTCTAAATTTCATCTCCCTCTGAAGTATTGCTGTTTCACAATAATTTTAATAAGTTTTATTTTCATTTTAATTTAGTTCAAAATGTCTTTAAGTGTTTCTGGAGCCTCCTTCTTTCGTCCATGTGTCGATTAGACATGTTTTCTTCCATTTCCAAACATAGGCAGCTTATCCATCTACTTTTTTTTTTTTTGAAGATTTTATTTGTTTATCTGACTGAGAGCTAGAGAGAGAGCACAAGTAGGCAGAGCAGCAGGCAGAGGGAGAGGGAGAAGCAGGCTCCCCGCTGAGCAGGGAGCCTGACGCAGGGCTGGATCCAGGACCCCGGGATCATGACCTGAGCCGAAGGCAGATGCTTAACTAACTGAGCCACCCAGGCGCCCCTCCATCTACTTTTCTGTTGTTGATTTCTAGCTTGATTCCACTGTGGTGTGAGAACCTACTTTGTGTGAGTTGGTGTGAGAACCTACTTTGTGTGAGTCCTATTCCTTTATATTTGTAGGGGTGTGTTTTCTGTCCCCACATATTGTCTATCTTTGTCAGTGTTCCCCGTGAGCTTGAGGGGCTATGGATTCCGCTGTTGTTGAGTGGTGGAGTGTTCTATACAGGTCAAGGAGATTGAGTTGATGGATAATGCTGTTCAGGTTATCTGTATCTTTTCAGTATCTGCTTGTCCGCCTGCTTGATTTACCAATTAGTGACAGAAGGTGTTGAAATCTCTCACTACCATCAGGGATGTATGTATTTCTCCTTGACCTTTTATCAGGTTTTGCCTCATGTATTTTGACACCGTTTAACATTGTTATTAGGGGCTTACACAGTTAGGATTGTTATGTCCTCTTGGAGAATTGACTCCTTAATCATTATGTGATGCCCCTCTTTATACTTGGCAATTTTCCTTGTTCCGAAGTCTGCTTTATCTGAAATTAATGGAGCTCCTGCACCTTGCTTTGGCTTGGTGTTAGCATGGTAAACCTTTTCCTGTCCCTTTACTTTTAAGCTATCTGCACCTTTGTGTTGAGCGTGAGGTTCCTGTAGGCAACTTATACTTGGTATACTTGGATCTTTCTTGTGTCCGCTCAGAAAAATCTCTCTTTAGCGGGTGTACTTAGGCCATTCTCATTTAAAGTGATTATTGATACAATTGGATCGATATTTGCACCTGTTTTCCCCTCTTTTAGCTTATTGCTTATACTGCTTCTCAAACTGTTTCCAGTGGTTGCCCTAGAGTTTACAATATACACTTTTACTAAGCCAAGTCCACCTTCCAGTAACACTATACGGCTTCACGTGTAGTGCTGCAGGTGCCTTATCACAGAGTATTCCTAATTCCTCCCTCCCATTGCTTGGGATACTTCTGTCTTCCCTTTCATCTATCTGTGTGCTATGATGACGCAGTACATTGTGCTATCCTGTTTTAGAGAAGAGTCATCTTTCAGATGACACAAGAATAAGAAACATAAAAGACGTTATTTTACCTCCATTTTACTTCACGAGTCTCTTCCTTTCGTTAGGTAGACCCACGTTTCCGACCCATATTATTTTCCTTCTGCCTGAAGGACGTCTCTTAACATTTCTTGCGAGGCAGATTTCCTGGAGATGAATTTGCTCAACTTTTCTTTGAGAAAATCTTTACTTTTTGTTCATATTTTACTGGAAATAGATTTCTAGGTAGATGGTTTTCCTTTTCAAACAACACCTTAAATATTTCATTTCACTCTACTCCTTCTTTGCATGGGTCGTGATGAGAAGTCAGCTGTAATTCTTATTCACATTCCTCGATAGGTAAGATGATTTTCTCTTTGTTTTTAATTTTATACAGTTTGAATATAACAAGTCCAGGGGTTTGTGTGTGTGTGTGTGTGTGTGTGTGTGTGTGTGTGTGTGTGTACTTAGTGTATATGCTGCTTGGTATTCACTGAGATTCCTGAATCTATGGTTCGGTGTCTGTCACTTATTTTGGCAGTTCTTGGCCCTTATGGCTTCCAGTTTTCCTTCTTCTCTGTTATCTCTACTTCTTTCCTTTTTTGGAGTTTGGATTAATATGTGAAACGTTTTCCAATTTCACATGACAGGATGTTCAGTTATGGGTTTTTTTTTTTTTCTTTTTCTGTTATTATTTCCTAGCATTTCTGTTTGGAAAGTTTTATTGACTATGACTTATCTTCAAGCTCACCAATTCTTTCCTCCATTGTGCTGAGTCTATTGACAAACCCTCCTTTCTGTTACTGTGTTTTAATTTTCTAGTATTTCCTTTTAATTCTCACTCAGAATTTCCATCTCTCTGCTTACATTACCCGTCAGCTTTTGCATGTTGCCTATTTTTCCATTAGAGCCCTTAACAAATTAATCATAGTTCTTTTAAATCCCCTATTTGACAATTCCAAAATGCGTGTCATATCAGAGGCTGGCTCTGATGCTTGCTTTGTCTCTTCATTCTCTTAATTTTCGTCCTGCTTTGTAATTTTTTTGTTGAAAGCCAGACATGTTTGTCTGGGTAATAGGACCTGAGGTAACTAGGCATTTAGTGTGAATATTTATATTAATCTGGCTTGTTATGTTTGCTGTAGCTGTAAGTGCCAGAAGCTTCCAGTTCTTCGAGTGTCCTTATTTTGGTGCCCTCTCTTGAATTTGAGCTTCCCAAATCACTCCTGTTCACAGGGAATCTGCGGTTTTGCAGTGCTTTCAGCTATAATCCACAGTTATTTCTCTGGAGCCCCATTGATGTGGTAAGGTGTGGGGAGAGGGAGGTAATTCTGTAGCTTCATGGTTAAATCTCTTGTCTTTTAGTGGGGGCCGTGTCTCTGGGCTGCAGCCTTCACAGGTGTATCTCCAGTGGCGTTGCCTTCTCCCATGCCCTCTATCTTTCCCTGGCTGCAGTATTCTCAAATTAGTTCCTGGAAGGCTTGATCCCTATTGCCTACCCCGTTTCCCTCAGGTGGGACAGGAAGTCTAGAGGGGGCCTGTGTGGGAGGAATACCCTTCCTCCACCTAGGGTAAAGCTCTAGCCAATTGTTTTCCCTGGAGAGTAGCCCTCTGTCATGGGGAAGGCTCTAGGGGTTATTTTGACAATGATTACTCTTCCTCTCTCCCAGCCACAAGAACTAAGGCACCTTTCTCAGAACTTCACCATGAAAATCCATTTCCTGGAGTGAAAGACCATGAACATGTGGCTGCCCCCTAAGACTTCAGGGGATGGAAGGGGGGGCAGGGTGGAGATGTGGTAGGGGAAGCAGATTCTCACTCTCCTGTTAGTCCAGACTCAGCTTCAAGCAATTCAACTTATTTACCATTTGAGTGCTCTTACCAGTTTATGACTACAGAGGATTCTGACCCAGGAAAGCAGATCTCAGTTTCGACGGTTTGAATTCAACACTCTCTCGAGATTTTATGTGGTGGTTTGCCCTGCCACCTCAGTACTCTGATGAGTCAAAAAAAAAAAAATAGGTTGCTTCAGCTTTTGCAGTGTTTTCTTGTTTTAAGGAGGGATTGCTGATTTCTACCCTGTTTTATATGTTGGAGCTGAAACCAGAAGTCTCATTTGTGCCCAATTTTGAAACCCAGCATAGTCATTATAAACCTATGATTTGCAAATATCATGGTTAAGTACCAAGAGAAGCAGATGCAAGTTGAAAGTATTTGTCTGAGCGAGCCAGTAGGAAGAGTGTGGTGTTTGTGGTGGGAAGAGTGATGGGGCATAGTGTGTG